AAACTAAAAAAGCTTTAATAAAACAATAATAGTGCTTATAAGGAAATAATAATAATGAAATATATGTAAATCTACATAAAACTGATCTCAGATCTGGCTGCCTGCCCCTCCCTAGCAATGTGCACAGATGCTGCAGAGCCCGCAGCACCGGGGATGCCCCAGGCTCAGTGGCAGAGGGGAGCCGGACCCAAGAGCTGGGGTTTGGGAACTCAGGTTTGGGATCAAAGGCAGAATAAGGGACAAAGTCCTCCTGAGATGCCAGCCCTTGAAGAAGAGGGCTTATCCCCCATCATCTTTGAGATATGTACTGAATATGCCATATATGGAATAGAATACTCTTGTTGGTCACCTGTCCTTTCTGTTCCTCACTGGAGGTTTTACTCCCTTATGCTTGCTTTTTCTTCCTGGCTCCCCCAGCATGGCACACAAGATCCAGCAGTGACCTTGGTCGCTGTAGGAGCTAGTATCAGCCAGAACCTTTCTGCATACCAATCCCAGGCCGTAACTATAAACCTTGGGTGTTGTCACTTCTAGTAGGAGACACTATCTGCAAAAACATGCTACTAACTTCAGAAAGTGCAATCTTTTAGAAGAGACTGAGCTGAAAAGTAAAAATCACTGAGCAGAGTTGGTTCTGTTTAGGTCAAACAAGGGCACCATGTAACATAATCTTGCCTGTGAACTGTTCAGTATCCATTGTCCCTCCCATCCCATTGTCCATTCCATCCTGTTGTCCATCCCATTCCATACTCTTGTCCATTACTGTAACTTGTTGCAGTTTGTGTGAAGACGGTTACTTAAGAACTTATCTTGCAGTACTGTTTCCTTAGGGAACTCAAAGTAATTACTGCTAATTGTTCTGTAGTTCAGTTTTCAGACAAGCTATAGACAAGCCAAAGAAAATTGACTAAGGAAATTAGAATTAATTAGAGCCACAGACATACTCATTCTTAGTGACTCAGCGTTGGCAGTATAACTTTCTGTACCCTGGAGACTAGTGAACATTGACTTTGTTGTTCATCCTCACAAAGAACAGCGCAAGAGACAACTGGACTGTAACTTCTAATTCACTGTTCCCAAAAATATGTCCAACAGATACAGGAAGCCCAAGGCTTAAAACTAGCAAGTTTTAATTTGCAAGTAATGTCGGCAGTATTCTATGAATACTTTGTTGCTTGAAGAGCTTGTTGAATCCTTAAGTTATTTCAGTGGTTATGACACTTTAAATACCGTGTTGTCTTGGGTTTTCAGCCTTTCTAGTGATGTTAGCATTAAATTTTTGTTTATTATTATAATAATAATAAATCAGTCAGAATAATGGTTCTCAATTTCTGCTTAATGCCTGTCTCAAAATATTCAAAAGTAAGTGTGCATGCCGCATGAATGGAAACACTTTTTTTTTGTTTTTGTCCCTTTGATCTGTCTCTTGCTCACATTCTATTACCTGTTAGTCCCATTTGTTAATATATGATGCATCCTGGACAAAATGTTGAAGCCACGTATGCTGGTTTGAGCTAAAACATTAATTTTTCTCATGTTTTGCTTTTTGTTCCCCCTGAACTTGAATTTCTTTAGGTTTTTTAGCTGCATTTTCGGAAGATTTGCAAATAACGGTACAGTACAGTTCAGTAGATTCAGAATTTTCTTTTAATTTTCTTTTTTTTTTTTAATAATTTACCTTTAATCTCTTTGCCTTCATTGTTCTCCGAGTTGCTTGATTTTGTTGTGTTTTTATTTTAATGCTGGTCTTAATTTATCTTTTAAGGAGATTTGAGGCATTTGTACAAATGGGAAAGAGCCCCACATGTGAATTACTTTATGACTGGGGAACAACAAACTGTACAGTTGGTGATCTTGTGGATCTGCTGATTAGGAATCAGTTCCTAGCACCAGCAAGCCTTTTGCTTCCAGGTAACTATTTCTCTTGTGCGTTTTGAGCGGTCTTCTCAGTTTTCTAAGATGCTAAGAAGCTTCACAGTAACTTGAAAATCAGAAGGGATTTGGTCAAAGTAACCAAAAGTGGACATATTTTCTAATTCTGTTATTTGTAATAGTCGTGTAAGTAATAGTCCTGCAGTTTTCATGTGTTGGGAGAATATAAACTTGTCATGACGCTCACACGCCTCTTAGTAAATACTGGCATTAATGTTACTTATTTTTCCGATTCCTCATGTAGTTAACGCTTTTTCTAAATTCCATTTTCAGAAGCTGTAAGGATGGCACAAGAAGTTACGTTACCTCTTTCTTCACAGGAAACCTTGCCTATACACGAGAAACAACTGCCTGTACAGGAAAAAGAAATGGCATCTCTAAAGCCTGTTTTAACTCAGAGTACTGAGAAGCAACGTTCAGCTCCTCCCTGCTTAAGGCAAGAAAATAGCAGCTCGCAGTCTAGTGACACAGGTAGGCACCCATCTTGGCAGAATTCGGTACAATCTTTTTTGCTGCTCTGTTCTTCGGCCCATGTGAAATAAATTGCAGCAATGCATTAGAGTAATGCCTGTCTCGCATTGTCATGCACCTCTGGGACACAGCATCTTTTGCTCATGTTCTGTGTGACTGAATTTAGTTTGTGTAATAAGATACCTGAATACGCGTTGCACCTTGCCAATAAGGTGGCTACTGTGATGGAAAACTTGACTGTTAGTTAAATTGCAATTTCTTTTGTGCTACACATAATCCTGTTGCCGTTTTTCGATACTGATTTTGTAGACTGATTAGCATGTTGTGTTTTAAAACCAGATTTTATGTGTCAGGAATTCATAGAATCATAGAATGGCCTAGGCTTCATAAGAATGTTGGAAGAAAGGTAACTAAAGAAAGCATTCTAGGAAAATATATGGTTGATCTGTTTCTTCCTAAAGGTCCACTTTTGGGTTGCTTGCAGGAACTTGGTGTGATCTAGATGATACATTTTTACATGTGACGCAGTGTGGTGCTCTCTGCGATCTGCTGCACATTTAATTTCTATTACCTGTATTACAAGTATTAACAAAAAGTACAGTCAGAAGGCTGCTGTAGTGGTAGTTGTGAAGAATATTATGCATAGCTGATTATATATGTTTCTCTACATTTCATTCTTTTTTCTTCTGTCTTCATCACAAAGCTAGAAGCCGTGTTCCATTATGTCAGGATTTGTGTGGTAGCAAGTTTTTGATTAAGTAGAACCAAAGCAGAAAATCTGTTCGATACACTTGTTCCTCAAGTGAAAACATAGCTCTGTGCTAAATGGCAAATATGTCTTTCAGATTTCCATAATTTTTCATTTCATGACTTGGAAAGTGTTACAAATAATTTTGATGCACGACCGGAATCAGCTGGAGGTAACAAACTGGGAGAAGGTGGCTTTGGTGTTGTGTTCAAAGGCTACATCAACGGCAGAAACGTGGCTGTCAAGAAGCTCATTGCTGTGAGTCATTCTGGACTTTTTTCAATGGCTGTGTACTTTGTAGTATAGTCTTGTTTATCTGTGGAAAGTGTTGAATGATACACTTCCAAAAGTGTCACCGTAGAATCATTAAGGTTGGAAAATACCTCCAAGATCATCTAGTCCAACTGTCAACCCAACACTGCCATGACCTCTAAACTATCCCGAAGTGCCACGTCTACACGTTTTTTGAACACCTCCAGGGATGGCAACTCCACCACTTCCCTGGGCAGCCTGTTCCAATGCCTCCCCACACCTTAAACAATAGTTGGGTTGAGAATCTTATCCTGGAGTCCCATGAGCTGGCACGGTCACCAGAGATGAGGTCTTGCCCTTCCTGTGGTGAGTGGCTCCAGCAGGTTGTCAGGAAGAGCAGGGTGCTTCTGCAGTTCCCCTCTCTCCCCTGCGCAGAGGAAGTGGCAGAAAGGAGAGAGTGCTGGGGAGGTTTCCCTTTCAGGATCACAAAATTTTAGTCTTCATAGCCAGTGTTTTGTGTGAATAATTAATTTTGTAACGAATAAATGCTATTAGTGGGTAACTGCACTGAAATATAATGGGTAAATTGGTGACTGTGCTGAAACTGAATTAATTTGCCCAATACTACTGTGTTCCAGAAAGTTAAAAAGCAAGTTCTGATACCTTATTTTTGAGTGAAGTAAAAAAAAAAAAACCGTAACAGTCAAGTAGTTGTTATATATAACTAATCTAAAGGAAGAGTTACACTTTTGATTTTTTTATTTTTTTACTGAACGCCTGTGCATTTTAATATCGCCAAGGGTATTAATGTCAAATTCTTCTTTTTGTAGATGGTTGATGTTAGTGTTCAGGACTTGAAGCAGCAATTTGATCAAGAAATAAAAATGATGGCGAAGTGAGTACAGTGTTATATGGTATCCTCATATCCTTTATGGGAATCTAAGCTGACAGATAACACATAAGCTAATGTGATCCCTTTTTTTTGTCTTTTTGGCATAACTTAATGATATTCATATTAAGTGAGACTGTTTAATATACGATGTGACTATTTTGTTCATTTTAAAGCACCACTGCAGAAACATGACTATATGCAGTGGGGCTGAAACAAGTAGTTTGGCATTAAGTTCCCTCTCTCTTTTATTTTCATCAAATTTTGGGAGTATTCCAGAGCATATATGAATAGGTTTATTTTTTTTCTCTATAGATGCCAGCATGAGAATCTAGTAGAGTTACTTGGTTTCTCAAGTGATGGTGCTCAACCATGTCTGGTGTACGAATACATGCCTAATGGTTCATTGCTTGACAGACTTGCTTGTCTGGTAAGTAAAATCTTTTCTGGCTTCCAGTTATCTTAACTTTGCCAAAGTATAGATATCTATGAAATATCTTTGAACCAGTACTGAACCATAATGGCCAAAAGATGTTTTACAACTTGCTTCTGTGTTCCAGACGACAAGTATGATAACAAGTGTTTTTCCAATAACATTTTATACAAATATTTTAGGCACAATAAAGTCAGAGCAGGCTGAGAGTACAATGTCATGTACCTGAAGTGGCACAAGAGCTTGGACTTGCCCTGCGTGCATGGAGCAGAGAAGAGGGTGCTGCACTGTCATGTTGTTCCCAGTTCTGACATTGGCACGTTCTCTGCTAGTTCTTGAGATCCTGCGTTGTGACATTGCCCTTGGTTCATTGCCCTTGTGATAGTGGTTAGAACACAATGTTCGTAGTCTGCATATTTTCCTGAAGTGCCTAAATAAGTGGGAAATCCTTTTTTTTTTTAATTAGTATTTTGTGTAAATGCAATACTTTCTTCTGATTTAATCAAATGAGGTGTCTTCTAGCCTTGGCCTTTAACAAATAGTAAGTTGCTTTGTTTTTCTTGAGGTAACTCTATATGAAGGACAATTACTTATTAGAGTGATACCAACAGGAAGGCAGACTTAACCTAGCAGATGAGTGTCCATGTTAGTTTGTTGAAGGAGTTCAAAAATCTGCTTTATACTAAGCAAGTGCAGCTTCTGAGATTGTTAGCTGGTGAACATCTTAAACTGCTTCAACTCCCCATGCACTAGACCTAAAATAAGTCATTCTGCTTTCTTGTGCACTGATCTTCCTGTCATACTGGCTCAAGCGTTTAGTAGTTGGAGAAGGAGCTGGGTTATGGAACTGTTGAGACTGAAAAAATACTCTGTAGAAAAAAAAAAGTCTTTGACGTTTTCTCTGCAAGGCCAAACAGTGGTGTTGGGATGAGAGTGAATAGCAGTGGTGACAGAGCACTGGCACAGGCTGCCCAGAGAGGTTGTGGAGTCTCCTTCTCTGGAGACTTTCAAAACCCACCTGGATGTGTTCCTGTGTGACTTACTCTACGTGATCCTGCTTTGCCAGGGGAGTTGGACTAGATGATCTTTCAAGGTCCCTTCCAGCCCCTGACATTCTGTGATTCTGTTGGGTAAAGGGCTGGAAATATTTGGTAGCATTGCTGCCTCAGGTTGATTTGGTTCATTTGCTTGCTCACACTTCCATATTTGCAATTGTAATTTTTTTTTTTAAACTGAATCAGTGCAGAAGGAAGACTGAAGTTTTATTTATAGCAGTGCAAGTTTATCTGTAGAAGTGAGCAAAGCTTCACAGGGCTGTATAAGAAAACGTTCATCCACGTAACTTTCATCGTCGTCATTATCAAGTGAGCTTCAAGGACTGGTGGTGATTGAAAGCTAAAGTAGTAAAAACTGAGGCCTTTAGAAGGAGTAAACAAACTTACATAAATCATAAAGAATCTAAATCAAAATGTATAAATCCGAAAGAATTTTCTGTTAAGGCTGAACAAGGGAGAAATGTGCATACTGAATGTGTATTCTTGCTGATAACTTCATTTTGTGGCTTTGCTGGGTGTGTTTGGGGCACAAACTCTTGCTTTTATCATCATCTTGTCTGGGCTTTGAGGAGCAGGTGAGGGAGGTGATAGAATGTTGAGAAACTCTAAGCTTCTCAGAAGAGTTAAGAATTAAGAATTCAGATTAAGAAGTGGCTTTGTAGTGTATCTATCCTCAGTTCTAAGGTCTATTTAGTTCAATGAGTCGAGCTAAACTCTGGAGAAATGGTAAATTTAGAAATGCTGGAAGGTTGACTTCTCTTTGTTAGTAAAAACGGTTGATTGCTTTGAATTATTTGCTTTGGCTTAAAAGGCTTTGTGATCGGAGCTGGTACAAAGTAAAAGATGTGGTAGACAGATGCAATTCTTTTGCAGTGCAGCTGGACTCGTAGGGTCAGAGTTGAATGTTGTCAAGAACTCTTTTTGCAAGAGATGAATTAATCAAAGGCAAAATTCAAGGAAAAGAGCTGAGTGTGACAGATGTGTATGTTTCTGCCCATGTAAATTAAGCAATGTATGCTATTATTCTTTTTAATGATTTCCTTCTTATTCAAGGATAATACTCCACCAATTTCGTGGAACACAAGATGTAAAATTGCTCAAGGTACAGCAAATGGCATCGAGTTTTTGCATGAAAATAATCATATTCACAGAGATATTAAAAGGTAAAAGCTGCTGACTGTCACTGACTGCATTTTCCCTTTTTTCTGTTTTTTTTTCTTTTCTTTTTCGTCTTCCCCCTGTTAAAGTCATTTTAGAGAGAACAAACTGTAAGCAGCGTTGCTTGAAGGGCACGATCTTTTCTGCAAGTGACATCTATCACCCTAATCTTGTCTTTGCCACAAGGACGTAGCCAGTACAAACTTCTAAAGATAATTATGAGGCTATTGTAATCTGTTACTATCAAATAGTTATGAGTGCTGCAAGGACAACCAGAAGTTCTGTTCTTTCACAACTGCTACTAATGGAAAAACTGCACTTAAGAGTACATAATGAGTTTTTAAATGGGGAATTTTTCAGAGGAAAACCCACTTTTTTTTTTTAATTTACTGCCATTTATTAGGAAGACAATAAAATTACTTCAGTCAGGTTTATGAAGTTCAGGGTTCTTCAAGGATAATGTGTTTTCAATTGTTTATTATACCAGATTTTCTTCCTAGAGATATCAGAGCTCGGAAGAGGTGAAGGTTTTGTTATAGAATTTTGTGGGGTTTTCCTGTTTTTTTTTCCCTTCCCTTCCCTTGCTACACTTTTTGATTTATTTTTTTAGTATTTTTAATACCTAAGCAGTCCAAGTCTTTGAAGAACAGCCCTAGGTGCCTTATTCCTTCTGTGGTTTAAAGAAAAACTGGCTGGTTGGGTGTCGAATGAATGTCTCAAGAGCTTCTTGGCGTTTCACAACTGTGCAATAAATGTAGGCCACTTTGGTTTTGTGACCTTCCTGCTTGTGAGGAACAAGTTTTTGCTTCAGCTGCCTCATAGAATGTGTCTGCTGCTTTGACAAGTTATGTTTCTTCTTCTTTCTTCCCCGCTTAAGCCTCTGGACAAGTGTAATGACTGGAAGGAACACATTTTATACCTTATGGTACTCTGCCCTTCTAACTGCTGTGAGTTAATCATATTACAGGATTTGGTTTCATTTTGCTTTTTTTTTTTTGTTTAGATTCTATTTTGAGACCTCTTGCAGTGTGAATATTTCAATAAATTTGGTTGGTGTTATTAATAGTGCTGCCACTGCTAGGTAAAACTTAAACGAAGAGACATCTGACATTAACTTCAGTCTTAATTCTGCTGTGACGTGTGGAGGCAATTCATAACCACATAGGCACAGGAAAGCTTCTCAATAGGCTAGAGTGGACATCACTGAATGGGTGTTCTCAGAGTTGTGCATGGCTTTTTGGCTTGGTTATGCCCAGGAAATAGTTCATTTGTCTCTTGAAACTTGACAGTTGCAGGAAAACTTGCTTCTCTTGAGCTCTTTGTGGTGTATCGGAAAAGCAGCTGCTCTTTGGGCTCAACTCAAGGTGATAAGTTCAGATTTATGAAGTTGTGATCCTGTTCTTTCTTCTTTTAGAAGCTCAGCTTTAAATACAAAACCAGCTGGTATATGGTGCCTTGGCCTTTGGTGTAGTGGTCTTTAAAACTATTTACAGCAGTTCTAACACCAAGTGATCTGTTGTGACTTACAGCTCAGTTAATTATGTTGAGACCGTCTGGTGAACAAGAAGGGGAAGTTAGAAATGTAGGTTTCTAGAAAGTGTTCCATGTTTTATCTGGCTATGTGTTTTCTTATAGTTCCATCAAGGGAGTCAGAAAATGAGGAGGATTACAGAAATATTAAATCAAGTGATTTTAAGATGGTTTCAAGTGCTACAAGTTTAAAAAATGGTAGAGGATTTATGCTGGAATTCGTCCCACTGAGTATTTTATGAAAGCATTAAGATCTTTTAGATGAGCCTCGGTCTTCGGGGGAGTGTTAAGGGAAGTAAAAGCTGGAGATCAAGTGGAAACACAACACATGAATTATTCCAGCATTAATGTTTTCTGTTTCTCTTCCAAAACAGAATAAGAGTATTAGTATTCATTTGGCATGTGAATTTGTAACTGTTGACATACTATTAGATAATAGGTATAAAAACCTGCTTTTCTTAGTTCTGAGTAGAGATTTAAACAGTTAAGAATTGTACTGTGATCCAGTACCAGTTGGTCAGAGCTAAGTATTCTCTATTATCCTTCTAAAAGAAAGATTATTCAGATCCAAAACATGAATGTAACATAATTGGTTTCTTATAAGAAACTTCTTAGGTTTGCAGGATTTAGGGGTGGGAGTTTCTGCTTCTTTTTTCTTTTTTTCTTTTTTTCTTTTTTTTTTTTTGCATGTGTACATGGATGGATCTTGGCAGCCAGTTCTTCGTTTATTTAATAAATTTTGAAGTTAAGCATTTTGCATCAAAAGCAACTTACATTTCTTGTTATATGAATAACGTATAAATATATTAGATTTCAAGGAACAGTCAAAGTAGCAGTTTGCATTTGGTTACTAAAGCGTTATTAGTCTGTTATAAAACCTAATTACTGTACTAGATTGGAAAATTTTCTTTTTTTTTTTTTTTTCTCCTCTCCTCCAGTGCAAATATCTTATTAACTGATACATATATGCCCAAAATTTCTGACTTTGGACTTGCAAGAGCATCTGTAACATTCACGCAAACAATCATGACTGAAAGAATTGTTGGAACAGCAGCCTATATGGCACCTGAAGCTCTGCGAGGAGAGATAACACCTAAATCCGATATCTTCAGTTTTGGAGTAGTAAGTAGAATGTGGGAAGCAGTATATGTCTTTTTTTTTTTTTTTTTGTAAATGATAAAAGCATACAGAATAAAGAATATCTGAAATTAAATAATCTATCCTGATCTATCATTTTTGTTTTTCCCAATAGATGTGCTCTTAAGATAGTGTCTCTGAACTTTGACTTGAAATGATTTGAATGTGTTGAATTTGCATGTCAAAGACTAGAGCAGAATAACATTCCAAGTTCTATCTAAATGTAGTTTGAAGTAATGTGGAACACTGTTTCTTCTTGTTCAGTATTTCACAAAAATGTAAATCAGACTGGGGAAAAAATTAAGGAAAATGTTGCAAAATTAAGCATGTTTTACCATAATTCAGCATCAAATGTATGCTGTCCATGTGGGATTTGCCTTAGAGCTGAGTACAAAAAAAGAGACGAGCTTAATATTTGGGAGAATCGTGATTCTGTTCTGAATAGATCCAAGACCCTAATTTCTGTTGACCACTTCCTTCATGGCATGTAATTTCACGGGGAAGGAGGCCAGATACTGTGTGTGACTACTTTGGAAATCCTTCCATCCTGCTTTGGAAATCCTTCCATCTCGCTTTGAAGCAACACAGTGTAGGGTGAGAAAAAATGTGTGTTGATATTCATAATGCATGCAACAGTTAAAATAAAGACAGGAACAACAGCAGCAACAGTCAATGGGATAGAGAGCTGTCTCTGGATAAGTACAGATTCTATGAGCATTTGTCTGATATACTGAGGGTCATGCTTGTTTTTGCAAACCGTCTATACGCCAAGGATTATTCTCGGCCTCATTTTCTCGTCTTTTTTTTTTTGCTCCTAGGTCTTACTAGAAATAATAACAGGTCTCCCTCCAGTAGATGAAAAACGGGAGCCGCAGTTACTGGTATGTTCTTTCTGCTTTCTCATCGCCTCCCACTGCTGCAGGATCACTTTCTGGGCAATCATAGTCAATAAACAGGTTCTGAGACTATCAGACTAGTCATCAAGATACATAGTTATGAAAACAGCTGTTGTGTCAATGCTTGTCTTGGAGCTAAGGCTGAAACCTTCCTCTGTCGGCTGGCAGAAGATTGTTCAGTCCCCAAGGTCATCTCCTTCCGATCTGATACTCTAATTGTCTTCCTTTTGGTGCTGCTTCGTATCGTAAACCCATTATGCTCTATCAGCACACTTCTGGTGTATACAGGTACCCTGGTAAGTCCTTATCCACCAGAACATCTTAAACTATTCATCTCAGTTCTTTCTTTATGGTTCTTTATACTTAGCATTCCTGTATCAGTTTTCAGCTTCACTAATAACTTGCAAGTATCTTGTGTCTTTAACCTCAGGGAAGCTTGCAATGTAAGGGTTTCTTTGCAAGCTGAGGAGTGGGTTGAATTTTGTTTTCTTTTTTGCTATTTAATTAGTATTTGAGTCTACTGATTAGGAAACTAATGCCTCAGAGCTCACTCTGTTGAATTAAAAATCTTACAAGGTTGTTCTTAATTTAGGTTTCCATTTAGCTTAAAGCTAATTCTGTAGTACTTAATCCAAGGTTTTCCTAGAATTTTTTTTACATAAAGATTTACTTATTTACAAAATAGGAAATAACATTGAGGTTTGGATTTTTTTTTTCTGTACTGTTTGACAGCAGATCACGTTCTTCCACAGCTTTTGGAGTACCTGTGTATTATTCATTGAGTTTTTGTCCTCTAAGCTCCGTCTTCCAGAGTGGCTTAATACTTATCCTGTTGAGCTCTGGAAGGACCTTGGAGAACTCAGTCCCTGTCAAACTGTATCTTGAGTTTTTGGGGGTTTTTTTGGCACAGCCTTTTTCAGAGATAGCATCTAAAAAGAAATATAAAGTATGGTTTGATGGGTACAGTTCACCTTTGTAACGTCCTCTTGGGAGCATTAACAGAATGTTGAAGCGCAAGATAATGTGGCATCCTTACCTTTGAAAATTTTGGAGTGGTTGAATGTTAGCCAGCAATTTCTTACTGGCTCAAGGATGAAGGCAGAAGACCTACCTCTACTCACTGAGTTTAATTTCTTATTTCATTTACCATCCTGACATTTCTGAGGTATTCCTCAAACAGTATTTGCGATTGCAAATAATGCACTTCATGTGTGTTGGAGCTGGAGACCTTTGGACTAAACCAGTTGAATTTAAAAATTGATTTCACACTACAAGTTTCCTTTTGAATAGATAAAGCAGCCACGGAGTGTGGTCCCAGAAGGCATTAGTTTACAGGAAGAGGCTTTATAAAGTTGACAAAAAAAAAAGTCATTCACACTCAAGCTTGCATATTTGGGGGTTATTAAGTAAACATACTTCATGTTGATCATGCTTCTTCTCTTAAAAAAGAGACACTACTAGGAAACTGAGCCTTGAACTGGGACTAAGTTAAAGCTGTATGATGGAGCTTAAAGAAAAATGCTTTATAATTTTATCTTAACTCAAAAATAATATATAAAAAAAAATATAGTTTATTTATACTCTCATAGGCTCTTTCTGCAGATATTGATAGTTATGCTGCTGAAC